AGCCGGCACTGGGGTGTCCCTGCAGCATCTCCCCAGCAGTGGCCACGTCTGGGCTCTCACCTGGGCTGGGCACTGTGGGCACTGGCTCTATCGGCATGTTCTCGTAGGGGCTGTCATCCTCATCGGGGGCTGAGGGGCAGGCAGGGGCAGTGAGCGGCGGGGCTGTGGCAAACTTCAGGTCAGCATAGACCACGCTTTGGGCCATGCCCTGGGTTGCCTTGGTGGCCCTCGATGGCTTCTGCTCACTACGGTCGAACTGTCTCTTGGGGCTGCAAAGGAGAAGTGCAGCTGGTTTCTGCAGAAGCAGGTTTGCTGTGAGGTGCAGAAGACAGGAGGAGGAAAGCACAGCCATGGGGACCGGTGCCTTGCCATTGGCCCCTGCGCTGCCATTCTGTCCCCTTCCACGCCCCGAAACCACTCAGGTTCCCCTGGGATGGCAGCGGGGTGGTGCATCTTGGGGTTGGGATGATGAGCAGAGTTTCAGGGCTCAATGTACCGAGAACCTACCCAAATATCTGTGGCAGGGGAGAGTGGGGCTGGCTTCCACGTGGGAACAAGCTGCTCTTGGGGGTGGCCCCATCCAGGATGGAGGTTCCCCCTCCCTGTGCTCTGCTCCAGGCTTTGAGCATCATTGCTGTGCAGAAATGTATGCCCTAATGCCTAAAAGGGGTTTCTGCACTGCAGAGTGAGCTCTTGCTCTTCCCCTCTTCTGGCCACATCTCCCCATTCTGCCAGCAAGGAGACCACAGGGGACCATGTCTCAGACCTCCAAAGGTCATGATAAATGGCCTCCATTGCTCTTTCCTCATCCTCAGCCCAGTTCTCCCAGAGTGGCAGGCAGGCAGGTTGAGCAGGTGTCAGTTGCCCTTGGTAAATCCCATTGGGCTCCTTCCAGCCACCACTATGTCCTCCCTGGGCTTGGACCACTGTGTGCCCAGGAGGATGTGCTCTGTCTTCTTTATGGGAATTGGGTGTAAGCTGCTCAGCCTTTAGATTTCCAAACCTCCTTCCTGTCCCCTTTGCAGATGGCTGTGATTTTTGCCTTTCTGTGGTGATGTAGGACTTCTGCTGCTCTTGCAGAGATGATGGGGTGTGGCCTTGCAATGCTGTGCTCCAACAGCACCCCTGCACACCTCCAGTCCTGTCTCAGGACCTGGCTGTGTCCAGCTGTGCCCAGCTGGTCACAGCTCAGTGCTCTTCTCCAAAACATGCCTTTTGCTGGATGCGGTTCAGTAGAGACCTCTGAGATTCAGAGGGGCTGGAGGTCGGGACCAAGGAGGAAATGCTACGAGCACTGTGGTTGTGGTCTGGCGATAAGAAGGTGAAAAGGGTCTCATTACTCTATGCAGTTCTCTGGGGGGTGTTTGGAGTGATGCTGAAGCCAGGGTCTTTTAGGAGGGGAGAGGACGAGGGGCGGCACAAGATACGTCATGGGGAAATTTCCATTTCTAGAGGCTGGGATGAGAAATCTGCATCTGTGAAGAGCCTCAGCCCTCCACAGGGCTGGCCCCAGGGCAACGAGCTCCTGTGTCCAGGATGGAACTGCTCTCCCCCAGCTTTCACCTGTCCCAGGCATTTGGGTCCAGCCTTGCTCTGCCGCTGCCCTGACCTCAGGGCAGGCTGCCCCGACCTCAGGGCAGGCTGCCCCAGCCCTGCCGCGTGCCTGGGGGACCGTGAGCACTTTCAGGGCGTGGGAGGGGATGGGCCGGTGCTGCTGGAACCAATGAGAGGGTGCTGGTCCCCACAGCCGTGCCTCGCTGGTCCCATCTGCTGCAGCTCAGAGCAAACTTCTGCTTCTGCAGACGTTGGCCACACTTCTCCTTTGCACCCCTGAGAGACGGTGCAATCACCAGGGCGAAGGACCACCCCCAAAAGGCATCAGAAGGGCAGGGTGGGAGCCAGGAGGGCTGAGGGCTTGCCCAGCGCTTGCCCACATGGCCCAGAGCGTGGTTTATGCTGACCTGAGGTTTGCCAAGGTGGTGGGGGGCCGGAGCATGGCCAGCCAGGCACTGGAGGCAGGTGAGAGCCCATGGGACCCTTAACGCTGCCCCCACCATGCCCAGCCCCGTGGACTCATTCACTCTCCCCTGCCTTCCTCCAACAGCCCTTGGCATGGACGACGCAGAGAGCCCCTATGAGAATGTGCAGCCAGCACCGGTGGGGCAGGACAGGGATGGGGCCCAGCCCAGCCCAGGTGAGTGCCCAGCTGGAGACCAGGGGAGCTGGGGAGGGGCCAGTGCAGGCAATGCGTGGTGTTTTGGGGTGCTCCCGCTCCTGTCCTTGAAGATGAAGCACCCACGCTGTGCCACCTGTGCCCTCACGCTGCCACTCTGCTGCCTGCAGGCAGGAGGTCTGGGGTCTGCCAAGGGTTTCCTGGCTCACCAGGTGAGGCCCGTGGTTGGTTATGTCTTGCAGGGCGCTGGTCCCAGCAGTGGTGCATTCCTGTGGGGCTGCTGCCCATCTGCCTGCTGCTGCTGGTGACCACTGTGGCCCTGGGGGCTTGCTGTGAGTCAGTGGAGGGTGCGCTTCTGGAGCTGGGGGTGGCTGGGCAGCACGGAGAGGGAGGCAGCTGGGCTGGGGTGGGTGCCGTGGGCGATCAATGGGGTGAATAGTGGCATGCCCATGCACACTGTTCGTGGCTGGGTCCCTCTACCCTGTCTGCCACAAGCTGTCCCGTATCCCAGGGACATCATGGGTGCCTCCCTTGCCTTTCCCCACCGTGTTCTCCGTGTCTGCTCCTTTCGCTTCACTTCCAGCTTCGCTCAGCCTTGTGTTGCTCCATCCTTCCTGCCCCTGCCCTGCTCTGTCTTCTCCTGTCCTGCCTTGCCCTGCCCTGCCCTGCACAGTTCCCTGCCCCATCTCTCCCATCCAGCATGGACAACTCCCTCCCA